TTAGTCGTGACTGGCAATCCTAAGCTTCGGCTCGTGCACGCTCTGCGCTTCCGCCTCCGCCAAGAGGTTTCGATCAGAGAGATTTGAGAATGGAGTGGAATAGGCTACTGTAGTTTTGTCTTTGTTTACTTAGTTAAGCAGTTGCAGCCCATTACTCGTCACTCAAAATACTGGTAAAGGACATCATTATCTATTGTAAAATTACAGTAGTAGTTTACCAGAAAAATAATCATACAGTTTTATAGGGTTAGAGTGAGCTAGGACAGACAACAACACAACCCTTACGAAAATAACGATGGTTTTACTAAATCCAAAGACAATGGTTACTATTGTTAAACCATGGTAACCACAAATTAACCATGGGTTTGCTACAATAACCATAGTTTTACCATAGCATTTGTAGTAAAACTAAATATAAATTATAATCCATTTTCCAAAAAAAAATACTTACTGTACTTTTCCTATAATAAAATAATGTTTAATTTTTGTACGGGTTGTAATGTAGTTATTGTACTAATTTTGACATTTAGGCAATTTAGAAAGTATAGTTTTGTTAAATCTTGAGTATTAAAGTCATGTGAGAGACAGAGATATCAGGGCAAAATAAAGAGACTGAAAAGGAAAATGGAAGTGAAGGTGCAGTTCAGGAGAGAACTTTTAATTATTTTGCATGTCCCCAGCCTAAGGATTTAAACCTTTTTTATGTGATGGCTAGGGTTGGGTATCGATTGGGTTTTTTACGATACCGGTGCCAAATCGATACTTTTAAAACGGTACCGGTGCCTAAACGGTGCCTGAACCGATACTTTTTTAAAAAGAGCCACATAAAAAACGATGGATAACATTAAAAATAAATATACATAGCATTCACATGCTCCTCGGATGCTCTCATTTCCCGAGTTGTGCTTCCCTTACTCTAAGGCTAATAAATGTATTTCACGATCTGGGTCGTTATTTAATACAAAACAATATTTAATACAAAACCACACAATGTTTATACTGTATCTCTGTCAATCACTCTGATTTTTTGTTAAAATTAGTGAATTGAACGAGTGCTGTCTGTCACTGTCTTTAATCAGTTCTGTGAATTACTGTAGGCTATGGTACCCAACATTCACTGTAATATGTTTTATATTAAATATTACATTTTCAAATGAAAATAGCAATATGATCATTTTATAAAGTATGCGTTCATATGTGTTCAGGGTTAGATTTTCGCTGGAGGAAACAGCTGTGGTGTGATGAGCGGTGAATGCAGCGAAAACTTTACAGTAGATGGGAAACCGATTGCTCCCTTGTGACCTTTTGTAAACTGTATTTATGACAAAGAACTGCACAGATACAGATATTATAACAATGTATCGATAAACACACCTTGTGTCCTATGTTTGAGTCCACTCGCGCTGTGCCGCCGCGGTCTGCGGAATTGAAGAGCGCGCTGAAAGACGGGGAGGAGACGGAAAGTCTGCCGCCGTTTTCATATGAAATTTAAAGAGGACTGACTCTGAGGCGATCATGAATTTGTGTACAGTTTATGGAGCTAATCGCTATAGCCCCGCTAAAAATGGCCTAGCCACGCCCATGCGTCTTACGTCCATTTCAGATAACCAGGACAAATATTTCAATCGATCGCTCAGGCATTTAAGTGGCACCGAAATGAGGCACCGAAATCTGCGTTCTGATTCGGTTCTCGTACATAACGGTTACATAGGTACCGGTGCCATATTGGCACCGGGTTTCGGTACCCAACCCTAGTGATGGCCGTACAAAAAATGGGGTTGTCCGTGTTTCAGAGTTTGTTATGGGTGTATGGGATAGCCTGGATGAGTGTGAGATTTCTCAGCCTGAAATTTTGTCCCAGTCCGCCCCTGGGCTCCAGCTTCAGGGAGCAGAGGGACTCAACTCTCAGAGATGAGAGGGGAACTCTGATGCTCACCTTGGGAGCGTTGTGCTCATAGGCGACCCTTGAGACTGAGGGGAGCACTGCTGTGCTCAACCATAAAAGCAGTCTAACAGGGAGGCAAAGATGGCCTAACAACCTTTTTTGGGTGCCTCATGGAACACCAGGGAGCGGAGGACTCAACTCTCAGAAATCAGATGAGAACTCAGATGCTCACCTTGGGAGCGGCATGCTCATAGGCAACCCTCTAAATTGAGTTAGGGTTAGGATAGCACTGCCAACTCAACCATAAGGCCAGTCACATGATGGGAGCTCCTGGGAAGAGCATACTCATAATTGACCCTATAATGAGCACAGAGGCGGTCATCAGGGAGGCCAGTTAGGAAAGGCCTAATTCACCTGGTATGGTTGCCTCACGGAGCTCCAGGGAGCAGAGGACTCAACTCTCAGAGATGAGGGGGGACCCAGACGCTTTCCCTGGCAGCAGCGTGCTCATAGGAGATGCTCTTGAGTGAGGGGGAGCACTGCCAAGCTCGATGACAGGAGCAGCCAAACAGGGAGGCAAAAAATGGCCTAAGAACCTGATATGACTGCGCACAGAGCTCCGAGACCGGTAGGCTGGTTTCCCTGGTAACGGTTGTACACAAAGCAGCGCTCCGCTCACAAACGCTGCTTTATCAGGCATTACATGCAAGATGAAATGAAAGTGACATCAAAAATTTTCTGAAGACAGTCGGTTTCCTTCAGAGATAAAGTGATATAAAAACATTGTTGAATAAACATGAGCACTGCACGTTTCAAAATCAAAGTCTTTTGGAAAATATATTTATGGCGGTCAGTTTTGATATTGTGGTGACTGGTGAGTCAACACAAATAAATCAATGTATGGGAAACATTGCATACCACAGCACAACAACTTGAGCCCAACTTCAGTCTACTCATTACCTTAACTTTAACTGCGTTTGTAGTCGGTGCCACAAGCCAGACTGATAAACAAACACAGACCGGTTAACTTCGGGCCAGGCGCGTGCGCGTGATGAAACAGTCTATACTATTCTCATGGTACAGTACAGTACCTTGGTATAAATATGTCCTACTGCTCCACTCTGATGCCTCCTGAACAGTGCATACCAGTCCATACCACCTCCAACTCAGCACCAACAACCAACCACCAACCCTATCTCCCTTTTCTATTTTCTCCCTCCCCTCTGCTTTATAATCTATTTACTTTAAATAATTATATTGATATTATTTGAATAATTTTCTCTCTTTATCTATTTATTTATTTTATATATTTTGTTCTCTTCTCTTTCCCATTTTCCTTCCCTTTCTTTTCGAAAAATATACTTTATACAAGATATAGAGGTGTACAACTCACATGCATTACAATCTTACACCTCATATGCATTACAATCTTAAACCTCACATAATTACATGTAAATTTAACTTCAATGTTTTTGTGCTTTTGTTTTGGCTTAATTTTTTTTTTATTGTCAAACTTGCTTTATATTTATAACACTGTTTTCTCCTATTTTGTACTATTTTTCTGTATGTCCTACATTGTCTTTTTCTAAAAGCAAAAAATATATATTTTGGTTAATGAAATTATCTTACCAGAAGAATTGCATGAAAACGTATCATGTCTGTTCCATCTGTATCATCTCAGTGAGATTTTATGAGGTTTTACGCATGCGCATTAAAGCGAATTGAACGTTTTCTGACGTTTCAGTGTGGATGGAAAATGCTTGAAAACGCTAGTGTGGATAGAGAAAATTTTAAAACAAAAATGCCATTTTCAAGTGCATCCGGATTAATGTAGACGTAGCTTTTATTTGTTCACCAAATACCTTTAAAGTAACAAATGTAGACAGCATGCAGTAGTCAAATGTAATCACTCACATAAGGTTTGCTTTGTGCAAAATAAATGATTTTCTTAGATACTTTGCCAGTACTAAAAAGTTTATTTGATACTTTACTTTCGCCAGTGGTTTAAGTCTTACCTCTCAGATAGGTCCTTCAAGGTACCTTGGAGAGGTGAGGTGTCCCAAGTCGCAACATCTAGCTACTGGGGTGCCTTAGGGCTCAGTTCTTGGACCACTTCTCTTCTCTGTCTACATGGCATCACTAGGTTCTGTCATTTCAACAAACCCATCACTTTATCAAAATTTCACCATCCAGTTAGGCTCATCAACCATAACTCTTTCAAAAACAGCTAGAAACCTTGGAGTTGTGATTGATGATAAGCTGAACTTCTCAGACAACTGCCCAGTCCAACAGATTTGCTTTATACAACATTAAGAAGATCAGGCCCTTTCTTTCAGAACATGCAACACAACTCCTTGTTCAAGCTCTTGTTCTGTCCAGGCTGGACTACTGCAATGCTCTCTTGGCAGGTCTTCCAGCCACTTCTATCAAACCTTTACAATTAATCCAGAACGCGACAGCAAGATACAGCCATCTTCAAGAAACGACTAAAAACACATCTCTTCCATCTTTATTTGACCCTCTAACTCTAGCACTTTGTATTCTATTTTAATTCTACTTTATCCATTTATCTTCTTTTTACTAAAAAAAAATATATTTTTTTCTATTCTACTTGTTTTTCTTTGTGTGTGTGTATATATATATATATATATAAATACCTTGTTATGTGTACTGTTAGGTTAACCAAGACTTGTCATTTGCACTTACATATTGTTGCTCTTTTGTTAGTTTTGATTGCTTCTATTGTCCTCATTTGTAAGTCGCTTTGGATGTACTTTTGCATAATTAGCCTAAGTGCTAGAAATCAAAGAAGCAGATATTGGGTTTAATGTTACAGAAAAAAAAAAAAATTTTTTTTCATTTAGGCTAATTCCATATTGTTACAACTTAAATCCGTGATGTCATAATAACAAATGCCCAATGTGAAAGCAGGATCTTCTCAGCTGCACTTGAAGGCAGCATTAGTATTTGTCATGTGATCTCAACATTTCTGTCGAACGTCTCAACATTTGTACACCCGTGTGATATTCTTCATAAATATCATTCATTTCTGTAAAGCTGGACATTTTAATAAGGATCAAATTTAGTGAGTTCAGCTTTGAGAATAAAAACCAACCTGTTTGTGTCTCAGTATCTTCATGTTTGACTCTGAATGTTTCTTCAATCTTCATGTCTTCACTCTCCTCTTTAATAAACACCATCTTTGTTTGTTCCTCAGTATCTTCATGTTTGACTCTGAATGTTTCTTCAATCTTCATGTCTTCACTCTCCTCTTTAATAAACACCATCTTTGTTTGTTCCTCAGTATCTTCATGTTTGACTCTGAATGTTTCTTCAATCTTCATGTCTTCACTCTCCTCTTTAATAAACACCATCTTTGTTTGTTCCTCAGTATCTTCATGTGTGAATGTTTCTTCAATCTTCATGTCTTTACTCTCCTCTTTAATAAATACCATATTTGTTTGTGTCTCAGTTTCTTCATGTTTGACTCTGAATGTTTCTTCAATCTTCTTGTCT